CCTGCTGAATTGCAGTTTCAAAGAAGAGGAGAACCTCCTTTCTTGGTGCTAATAGGATTTAGAATACTTCAGTGTGCTGTAGGAGTCAAAATGTTCCCCCTTCATTTCTGCCCCCAAAGAGTGAGAGCACAGTGTGTGTAAATTGCTCTATGAAAATGAAAAGGGGGTTTTGTTTGTTTGCTTTCTTCCACAAAGAGATTAACTTTTCTATCAGTAATTCCACAAATAATTGAATTCAGCCTTGATGTGCAGGATGTATCTTCAAGAAGGTTTAGGTCAAATGAGATTTCTTGCAGCTGCTTACTTAGCTTGAATGAAAAGCCTGTTGTGGGAGTTTTTTTAAGACATCTCACCCTTCAGGGATGTATGTTGCTACTGCAGAGCTGCAAGCTCATGAGCTCATGGCAGCACTAGTTACAATGTCAGCAGTTTATGACTTCCGGTAGCCATTTCTGCAGGTGAACAGGCCCAGTAGGGCAAGAGCTTGAGGTGAAAAGCATTTTCTGAGTCTTTTAAGTGCCCTATTGCCAGGTATCACATTGTAAGTTGCAGCTCACATTAGTAAGGTGTTTTCCTCATCTCCAGCTCTTCCAAAACCTCCTTGCTCTCCCATGCTTATCAGCTTTTCTAATTTCCACTCATTAGTTTATGGGAAGTTTATGCCAGTGTATTCTTGGACTATATTTCACTGAAGATCAAGCAGGAGTTTTCCTGCCTTGTGTGTCTCTCTCTCTCCAGTGTTCTGGCACATTTATATAAAGAGGTCACATCCTGACAGCCTTGACTTTGTACCGTTAAACCAGCCCCCTCTTCCAGTCTCCATTTTCACAATGCAATCTCTTCTTTATCCTTGTGTCTTTTCTCTGCACTTTTTTGTGTTTTCACTTAACTTTTCAAAATATGGGTCACTGGCACTATACACTATTATTCCAGATGAGACAGTAGTGTTGTATAATGAGAACAGTATTTCCTGTCTTGACTGGCAGTATACAATATAGCATACTTCTCTTTTCTATAGTGCATCTACTGGCATTCTAAATCACCTGACACAGATATATATATCAGTTGTGAACCCAAAATCTTCCAGTTCATAGTAAAAATAGCTTTGAATTGTGTGATCCTTCAGTTAGTAATACAAAGTTTCATCCCATTTGTGTTGCTATAGTTTATGACTGTTATTAGTCCCCAAGGGCATGCTTATGCATTTAGTAATGTTGAATTTCATCCCATTTCTATTACTCCACTGCTCAAAATCACATGGTGCTCCCTTATGATATCCCAGTGCTCCTCCACAATGTTAATGCCTCCAAAGTATAGCACAATCCTACGGGATGTTTTTGATTTTGACAGCCTTATGTGGAATTTCAATAGTCTTTTATGTTACCATCCGAATTGTTACTCATAATAGTGATATTTGAGTGCCTTTTTCAGGGCATATAGGACTGAATCGAGGCCTCTTCTGTGAGTGATCATTTGCCTTCCTAGTCTTACCCACTTTGTGTGGGTGATGGCTGTGCATCCACTGACTTTTGGAGTCCCAATCCATGGGCTGAATCAGTCCCCAGTATGTTTGGGTGAATAAGTGGCAACCTCACTGCATTTGGTCTCCTTTCCAATGGTAATTCAGCCATAACCTGCAAAGCAAATGAAATAACGGCAGCAGTAATTGAATTTGCTAAGGCTTTTCTACCCTGTAATAATATTACTTCTGTTCAAAGCAGCTCGAGCAGCAAGCCCTTGGCCTTCGCATCATCTCTGGATTCTTGGGAATACATGGATTTGTGCTAAGTTGCAGCTGTTTAAAAATGCAGCTATGGAAAGAACCATTTAAATTTCTTTTTCAGTTGTCAAGTGGACACTCTGTATAAACTCCACATCCTTTTCTTTCAGAGCATGCCACGTGGCATGTGAATTATACAAGTAATACACAACACACAGAATGTACTTTCACAAACAAAATAACAAATATTTAGCAAATGCATTTAATCAGTGCTTAATCTGATTTGCATAGTGCCTGGTGTTTTCACTTTCTCGGTTGTATTGCATTGTCTGTGGCCAATATGTTAACTTTTTTTAGTCCCATACGAGCTATAACTCAATCAGTTTTGATACAGAAATTCAAGACAAGAACTGCTGTGTGATTATTATTAGTGTGATAGACTTATCAGTTTTGACAGTGCTGCTGCTGTGAGTAGTCTGTGCTGAATCTCTTCAGTAATTCACATACTTCAAACGGGTGAAAGCAAGCGACAGCTGATGTCAGTATGATGGCATATTTTAAGGACTGAGGGGTTTTTTCACAGTCAATGTGAAATCACTTTGCACACCTAGCCTGACATTTATTTTTTTTTCTCCTTGTCCGTAATGGAACAGCTTGCTTATTGGCAGACTACACTTTTTCTCTGAGAAATAAGAAAGCATCATGCCTCATCCTCTGCCCAGAACTGAGTTTGGAGCATGCAGCACCTGCAGGCAGCATCTGCCTCTCCCCTTTCCTGACAGAGCAGACCCAGGAGGGCTGCAGCCTGAGCTTCTCTGCATGGAGAAGGAACTGTTTGGCTATTCCCTTAATACAGTTGTGTTGGTCTCTGGATGAGTGGGACACAGAGGGAAGACCAAGCTGCTTTGTGGAGCACAATTATTCATGCTGGGGTTGTTAATAGTCTATTTTCCTCCACTGTAACTGCAAGAGGAGGGCAAAGCTATGCTCAAGTACAAAACGAACCCAGCATATGATACCTACATGCTTATGTCCCCAGAAATTATATGCTGGCCTCAAGTGATCAGGCTGAAGTTTGTGCAGAAGTCAAAGAAAGAGGAGTCAGATATTCCAGATCTATGTTGTTTAGTTTTCAACTTAAGCAAGCATTTACTTTTCTTCTGTGTTTTGTTTGGTTGGGTTTTTTTTCCCTTTGAGCATCTCATTCCTAGAAGGAAATGAATCTTAGGTGACCTATAGGATATTTTCCTAATAGGTTGTTTCTTTGTTCATGCCATAACAACTGATGGGAAATATTTGGTGGAGAAAAAAGATACAGTCTGTCAGGATGTTGCTGGTTTTCTGTAAATCAAAGCCAGGACCTGCAGAAGAACACATAGCAAAGAAAAGTCTTAGATAGATACTTATTTCAAAAACTTCAAATAAAAAGTCCCAGAATAATGTTAAATTCAAATAATGTTGAAATCTTTTTTTTTTTTTCTCTGTAGCTTTTTATCTTAAAAAAGAAACATTTTAGTCTTCCAAGTCAGACTTACGGTAACGTCTTAACCACAGCATGCCAAAGCTATTAGGTTATTTTAAAGTTTGGGCCAGAATCTGGACGTTTGTGCAAAGTACTCCCATCTTTCAATACAAAACAAAATAGTTGCTTGAATATTCTTTGCAGTGCTGTCATTTTTAAGGCTTAAAAAAAAAAAAATTAAAAGAATTTAGTGTTTGTTGGGATTTTTCATGAGATTTTTTTCCTTGGTATGCAGTAAACATGCACCGCCGTTTTTTGTGAAAGCCTTTTTCCATTGTTATGTGTGGGAGACAGTCACACAGTGCACAGGCTTGGAACTGTCAGAAATGGTTCTGATGGCATTAGGCATTAACAGGGGATTGCTAGTGACCACTGGACACTGAAATTGCGTCCTTCTAAAGACACATAAATCATTTATTTTTTGAGTGTAGTGAAGTAAAACCACAAATCCACTAACATTCTTCTGTGTCTTGCAGAAAGTATGGGGTAGAGGTATAGAGGCAGAAGGCAGAAAATGAAGCTGCTCTGTTGATAAAGCCAACTTGAAGCTCACTTGAATAACTGAAAAGTTCCTGATGTCCACACAAATGCATTCTGTTACCCTGTGGGAAACTGCTGGCATAAGGGGTGCTTGGAAATTAAATATAACTCTAACAGCACAGCATTCTATTTGTGATGCTCAGTTGCAGGCTTAGCTTTGCAAATTGTTGATATTAACTTGAACAAGCATAGCACTATATTTATTATTCAAGAGGAGAACATATTTGGTGTTGAGAAGCAAAGCCTTTCTCAGGGTTACACAGCAATGTATGTTTATTTTGTTGGTGCCTCCTAAAAATCAATTTCACAGCTGCCTTCTTGGAGGCCTTTGCAACATTTTTTGGAGATACTGATGGTGATGTTAGGGACCAGTATTACATTATGTTAAGAGCTGGACAAGCTGGTATTAAGCATGGTGCACCTATCTTTATTCACCTGTCCCTGGTGGAGTATGTTCAATAGGAAGTATGCTAAAGCAAAAGTAAATCTCTCTAGAATGCATCTCATGTATAAATTCACAGTTGACACTGTGTAACTGTCAGCAATAGAGTAAAGAAAACAATTTCCCTCTGTGGAATTCTGTCAGTAACAGCACCTACACTGTAGGCAGCAATCATTTTGGTGTATTTTTACTCTAGGTACTTTTAGGGAAGGGTTAGTAATTCACCAGGTCACATATTGATTCATTCCAGGCAGATTGTTTTTTATTCATAGGATGTGTTGTGGGATAACTCAACTAATGCTTTTTCCAGTGTGTTATACAGAGCAAATGTAATCCATCTTGCACCAAAAAAAAAAAAAAGGTGACAATTAATACAACAGCCTCCCTTGCCAACAGTGTGACATCAGAAATGGTGTTTCTTAGCTAGGTTTATTTTTGGAGATTGTTTATGTTGCTTTGAGTTTATTTGGGCAGTAGCAAGCATAGACCAAGTTCCTAAAAAGGAAAGCGTTGTTGAAAACTGCAGAAAAAAGATGATGTGAAGTGGAAGCCACCCAGCTGAGTGTCTTTGCTGTCCTTTGCAATACGCTGGGCTGCTAAGAGAACGATTGAAAAAGCTTTTGCAGTCAAGGGAAAATACTTTAAATTTGTCCTTCTCAAATGGAAAACTCCATTTAAAAGGGATCTTTTGATTAAGGTTGTCCAACTAGAATGCGTAGAATTTCTTCCTTAAACCAGCACTTAGGCTCTTGTATTTATTTAAGTGGCCTAATTCTCAGAAGTACCAGGCATCCACCAAGAAAATCCTCTGAAGGTGGTAGGACCTAGGATCACTCACCAGCTTTGAAGTCAGACCACCTGTACCAAGCTGTCTGAATCTAACCTTGATTGCTTCAGGCACCAGCTTTTCAAATGTTTGTTCTTTCAGATGATGGTTGAACTTGTGGGTTTGGGCTGGTGCAGAGTTCAGGACTGAGGAGTGAGAGACTCCTCACCCATATCCTGGAGGGATGCAGTCCCTACTGCCATCTTCCAGCCAAGCACTGGCTCAGCTCTTCAGTTGTTCTGGTGCTTTCTGTCCTCCTGTGGTTGTTTTTGTACACTGCTGTGTTTCTTTTGCAGCAGAGTCAGCGTCCTCAGTGCACCTTCCTAAGCTGCTGCATCATTTCATTTGTCTTGCTCTCAGGTCACGCCTCTGGTCACTTCTTTGTAAGATGAAACTGCTAGATTCCAGATATCATCCCCTGCAAACTGCACGCAGCTCTCAGTTAGCTGTTTTCTACCTATTTAAAATTAAAATTTCTCATGTGGAGAAGTCTAGGTTTAGTTCTGGGAGCTCACCCTTCCAGGCACCCCACATGTATGTGAGCAGGTATAGCAGCCGTGTATCTGCCAAAATCCTGTCTAAAGTAGATTGTTTGAGTAGATATGTTTGCTGCTGCTTTTTCAGGGTAATTTTCTCTCTTTTTCTCACGAGGCAGCCCAGTTCCGTTCCTTTGCCTGTTGGAGCTGTCGTTAGGTAATTAACAAGCCTTGTGTTGAGGACATAACTGTGTGTGAATACAGCAAGGAAGGAAAACAAAATACTTTTGTAATATGACTCTCTTAACTGTAGTTTCATGTCAGTGGTTTGTGCTCCCCACGGCATGCTGGTGCCTCAGAGCATGGGACTTAACCTGTGTTTGGGCTCTTGTTTGTAGCTTGGCTGGCATGTAACACAAGAGACTGGAATGAGGGGGGGGTGAAATATCAAAAGAGTGCTTCATAATTTAACTACTTGGAGGATAAACTGATAAACTGCAGGCAGTGCAGAACAGTCAGGGAGGGTAAATGGAGGTTGTCTTCATTCCAAGGGTATTCTAAGTCAGATGAAAGATCTTGGGTGACTTGAGTCCCTAGAAACCCACAGAGGCACTTTAATTGGAAGCACAAAATAATGTTTAATTGAAAAATAACATGTTGATTTCTTCCAATGTTATTTTTACCTTTACTGTTGTTTTGCCAATGACCAGGCCCAACAAAAATGATAGCACCACCAGCAGGAAGATGAACCAATACAAAGACTGTATTGTATACAAGAAGAATATTGCATGAGTGATTGCTGGGGGTACAAACAGATCAATCAGCTGGTACATAACCGACACCACCCTGAACGATCTCACAAAAGATGTGGCTCGGCCCACAACAGGTGGTACAAACAGTAAACCAAGAGTTCACATAGTTGGTATGGGAAACAGCCAAACCAGCAAGTTAAACATGTAAGAAAAAGGTGCCCACATGGCAACTCTCACCCGATCGACCCGCGTTC